CGAATCAACGATGCATTCGCTTACTTTTTTCTTTTTTTCATTTTTTTATCCTTTTAATCTTAGTATATTAATTATATTATGTATAACAAAGCGGTAACAACTTGTTAATTGTAACTATTACGGTAATAATCGTTTACTTTATATAATTACAATAATGTAATGTAAGGATGATCGTTAACTAATCGATAACAAACGAATCGTTTCCTCCTCCATTCTTTCTTCGTCTTGATCATCATTATCATCCTCATCATCATCATTATCATATCATCATCATATCCTCGTCATTTCCTTCTCTTCCCTATTTGTTAATATATTTATATATATATATTTTTATTTACATATATATACGTGTATATATATACACACATATACACACATATGTATATGCACATAGATTCCGCTCTTTTTCTTTTGAATCCGATATCGGTCTTCGGCTAAATTGTTTCTTGTTTTCTTCATTTTTCGTTCATCCCCTCTTTCGTATTAATTATTTAACAACAGTTTTTTTATCCCTTTTATTATTTGCTCTTTAATTTAATAATCGTAGTAAACATAGTAATTATTTATAATATTGTGCAAATAATCCATATTTTTTTATTTTCTTTTTTTATTCTGTTTAATAGTAATGAATGTCATTCAACGGAGGAGCTCTTCTATGTTCTCTCTTTCTCTCCCTCACGTTCTCTCCCTTTCTCTCCTCTCTTTTTCACGAACTCTCACGCTTTCTGTCTTTCTCTCTCTCTTTCTCTCTTTCACGCACACACACACACGCTCCTTATTTTCTTTTATTTCGCACGCATTCTGTCTCGATGTCTCTCTTTTGCTTGTATTTCGCGCGCATCCACGATTCGCGTCCGCGCATGCGCGCTGTCGCGGTACGCGTTCACGCATGCGCGCGCAAGCGCGAGCACTCACGGGAGCACGAATTTGAATGGACGATCCTTCGCGCGTTAATGTGTTTTTTTTTTGTTTCTTCGACAGCTAGCTCGTTAAAATTGGATTTTATTTTATTTTATTTATTTATTTTATTTATTTTTTTGGTTTCTTAGCACATTTCGTCTATCTAGCTTGTTGACCCATGGCAGTTGCTTGTTCATTATACTGGCCGACAGGCTCCGTAGCTTGACACTTTTTTTTTCGTTTACGTGTTACAATTTTTTTTGTTTTCCGGTTTGTTAGCCCAGCTCTAGGATTTTTCTTGTATTTCAGGTTTTCCTGTACTCATCGTTTACTTTATTATCGTGACGACGTTTAGGTTAATGAGTTTTTTTTCGAGAGTTTCGAGACACTACAAAGCCCATTGTTTTTTTTTCGCTTTTTCTCTTTTTTTACTTTTAATCGTTTTCGCTATCCGTTTAAGAAAAGTTCGTGCATTTTTACGATTAGTTAACTTAGTTTTCATTTTCTCTTTATACAATGCGTAACGGCAGTATCATCCACGGAGAAAGTACGTTTAAACCTCGTCTTACCTCGCTTTAACGAAGGAAAGCCCTAAATGTATGTATGTATGTATGTTTGTATGTATGTACGTATGTATGTATGTATATATAATATATATATATTTGTTTCTTTAATATCTTACAGCCGTCGTCGCGTAAAAGCTGGTATTTAATGTACGTTTTTTTCTCTCTCTGTTCTCTGGTAAAACGAACGAAAAAAAATTCAATGAAGCACACCACGCATACTCTTCCACCCCCCTTCCCCCAATGTTTCTTTTCGTCATCGTAGCAATTTGGCCATCGAACGAACGTTTGCCCTCCGTTACACTCGAACAAATTTCCAGGCAACTGTTTCGAGACGCGTGTAATTAAATTCCCGACCTTCTTACGCATAAATCGTTTCGAATCGTACGAACCGAATGTCGACGTTACCTACGGTCGGTAACGGCGATTGAAAACCGGGGAAGTTTCGATTCAATCGGACATTCGGTCACGCAGATCGACCCAGTCACCACTTTTCCTTCATTTTTTTTTTCTTAATAAAGCGGTAGATAAAAAAGAGAAAAGAAGGGGAAGTAGTAGAAGAAGAAGAAGTAGAAGAAGAAGAAGAAGATGAAGAACGATCGTATCGGCGCGCCTCTCGGGGAAGAACGATTTTTTACAAGAGATCTGTCTATCGTTTAAGAGGCCAATGTGTCAATGGAACACTTTCTGCGCGCGATTCTATCTCGTTTTAATCTGTCACGCCCCGTTTACACAACTTCCTGTCGTGTGTCTCGAGTTTTATTGCTTCCAGAAAGTTCGCGGTTGCCCATTCGACAAAGTAGTATCGAAAATATATATGTATATTATATGCGTACAAACCATTTGATTATTATCGAATTATTTGCACATATTATAGCACGGGAGGGGGTCGAAACATAAAAGGGGGGCGAGAGGGGGTATCGGAGTAATTAGACAGTGAGCCGGACGGACCATCAGATACGTCGTACTTCGATGGAAGAAGGATCGACGAGATGAATTGATATCGTCGATCGATCTATCGTGTCTTGTTTTCGTATCGTTTCGTTTCGTTTCGTTTCGTTTCGTTTCGTTTCGTCGTCGTCGTCGTCGTCCGTCGTGCTCCGTGTACTTTGTTTTCCTGATTGCACGTTCTAACCTCTACGGGAACAACGTGTCCGTAACGTGTGCTTAGAAAAAGATTTGAATTTCGCGCGCGCGCGAAAAGCAACGGCAACAAGTTTTATTTACTTAGTTTTTTTTTTCTTTAGGCGTTATCGTTTTTCTGCTTTCGTCGCAGACCGATCAACGAACAGATAATGACGCGATGAACCGATTTTAATCGATGATCGTGCGGAATACTGAGAATCCCCTGATTTTGGCATGACCAGGTGTTAAATTCACCGATACAAGGATATATCCCCGTAATCTGTCGTTTAATTTTCTTTTGTTTCCCTTGTTCCAAGACACTTCGTACTTGTGTTTTTTTTTCAATTTTAAAAAATTCTCAATTATAAGCCTGAATCCACAACCCTTCAGATTTACAAGTTTCTAAACTTCCAAGTTCTCTAATTTCCACCTTCTTAAAGTTTAACATATCTAGATTTTCTAAACTTCCCAAAGTTCAGAATTTCAAAATTTGAACACTTGCAACTTCCCAGATTCTCAAATACTCGAACCCCTAAATTATTACTCTCCCGCCTTTTCCTCTCCTAAACTTTTTCAAAATTTACACTCTTAATCTACCAATTTCCTAAATTTCCTAAACCACAAATTACTAAACTCGAAAATTTTCCAGAGTACCAAGTTGTTCAAATTCCAGATTCCACGTATGAGTACTTCAGAATTTCCAAACTCGATATTTCAGTTTGCAAATTTCTTCAATTTCCTAATCCCTAAATTCCCAAATCTATTCCAAATGTTTGGGTTTGAAAATTTGCAAACTGAATTACTGGGCAATGTAACGAAGGTCTATGGTACACGGGTTCAGCGTATGGTACATGTACCACATGCTGCGTACGGAGCTGGGATACTCGTAGATTAATGGAGGGGACCATGGGGTGGGGATATAAACCATAGATCGTATAGTTGATACACTTGATCATGCCTGCATCGTTTGGAGAGATTCCGAGCGTAAGAAAGCCGAGTGTTGGAAGAAACGAAGAACGACGACCTCTTCCGAACGAACGAGTCGCGAGGACGCAGCGACGCGCATGCGCATAACGTTGAAGCGTACTCACGAAAGGATCATCGAATGGCCCGCGACGAGAATCGTGAAATGCAATTTATAATATACGTAGAAAAGGTACGAGGACATTAATATCGGACAGGCTTCTCTAAAATACTTTGACAAAGCGGACTCGACACCGATAGTGTGTGAATTATTTGTACGAGTTAATTTACAATGATCCTCACCCTCTTGAGCCTTCGTAGCTTAAAATAATGAACATTTTTTTTTCTTTATTTGTTTTGTTTATCCGATACTCGCGTTGTTTGCCATCCCTCTCTCTCTCTCTGCTTTTTATCAGCCTACGTGTTAAATAACAAATTCACCGTGCGTTCCTGGTTCTCGTAACGTCCGTAACCGTCGTCTTCGTCATCGTCCTCGTCGTCGATTCCTGCCACGTTTCAAATACGATCCTTCGAGCGAGCTGCGAGCTTCTTCCCACTGTTACGTCCGTTTTCGACCAGCGAGAACGATCTACTACAATTTTCTTTACTATAACCGCCTTTTCAGCGCCGTCTACAACCCCCGGTCTGCCATTTTCTTCGTCCCGTACATATATATCTTTTGTTTTTTGTTTTTTTTTTTTTTGGTTTGCTCTTCCCTGTCGGATCGCGGATGTAAACGTAGAAAAATAACGATCGCACAATCCGCGTTAACACACACACGCGCGCGCACAAACACACATATATTTTTTTTGGTTTTATCTTCCGCGTCTCGCCATCGACACGCTCGATCACGCGCGAGCTCGAGATGATTACGTTCATTCGTGTGAGTATCTGTGTGTATAATATAACGTTCTGTACGGTGCGCAGCGTGGTAGGTTTACGTTGAGAAAACGGTGATATAAGAAGAGAACTCGCCATTTGATTCTTATGGCAGAATTATACTGTAGTTACTTTGGATGTTTAATAATTACTACTTGTTCAAATGTTCGAATACTTGAATATTTTCTTATTGGAATAATTTGAGTACAATTTCGAATTTTAAATTTCATTTCATTTGAATTTTAAGTTCATACTTTATTGATATTCAAGTACTCGATGTTGCTATTTGAATGTATAAATATCCTAATGTTTGGATACTGATTGTTTTAAAAGTCTCTTAATGTTTGAAAATATTAAGTTTAAAAATTGTTACTTGAATTTTGAATTATTAACAATGGCTTACTTCACAAATATTGTATGTACAGTAAGAAAAACAAGCTTAAATGTTCAATAGTTTATATCACATTAAATAAAAACTTTTTACATTCGTTATCTAATATACACAGTTACAAATTATAACATGAAGTATTTAAACAGCAGTATCTTCAACATTTGTGCAATGAAAACAAATAAAAAGCTTACAAAGTAAATTTTATACATCGAATTAATTAGATAATTTCGACGAAACGTATAATACAATATTTGTGTAGTAAACCATCGATAGTTATCGAATTTTCCCGCGTAAACGAATGCAAATGGCGTCTTCCTCCATTTTCTTTAGAAAGATCTACCACGCTCAGCAGCGTACTTGAATACGGCAAATGAAACCGTGCCTTTATTTATAAATTAGACGCGTTCCAACGAATTTTCTCGAACACTCCCGTGTGTATACCGTTTGACACGCGTTCTTAGATTTACTTGGCGCGAAGTAATATATATTTTATGTACGGCGAGAGCGATACGATTGACTCGTGGCAGAATCGCGTGCCATAATCACGATCACGAGAGAATTTCGGTTCGATATGCAATCAAAGAGCGTTTCCATCGATCGTGGGGCAATTTTGATGCGCCCTGTATTATTACGGGGCACGCGATCCTCCACGACGATTTTAAGCACGTAAACCCGTTTTGTTGGTTTTCTTTTTTTTACGAAACGTTCCTCGATTTATTTCGTAAACGTTTATAATTGTACGTAATTCAGGCTAAAAGCGTGGTTGTTCCATCGTTATTGTCCTTGGACAATCATGCAGCTTCCCGCGCCATTTTGTTTTCGTACATAGAATCTCTGATACGCGAAACATTCGATAATTCAACAGAATCTGCGCGATAAATATTTGAAACAACAAACTTCGAACTAATAATCTCTGAAAATTTTAACAATTTCTTATAATGTTCCGTCTTTGGCCACCGTAATTAAGGAAATTAATTAGAATGACACAACTTTCTGGCTGATCCTCGAATGTTTTTGACCCAAAATATTCTTCGAACGACACGTTTCTTCGGTTACGAGTAACTTTCCGGTGTGTATAAAATTCCGATAGACAGTTGCGTCAATCTCGTCGTTAGCAACTAAATTGGTATTAGAATTTCTTCCTTTCATTTTAATTTCACACTATTATATGCGAGACGGGTTTACGGGCGCACGGTTGTCGATTACAATTATTCGAATAACGTTACACTATTATGTTTATTCATTTATTCCAAAGCGCATTACTACGTCGTGTAAGATTGTGTGTCTGTGTAAAGTTTTGCAAATGTGTAAATTATCTAGCTGATGATGATTGCGAGATTCCGTATTCGCCGTCCCCCCCCTCTCCGTTCCTTTTGGCAGGAATTATCATTCTTCTGTCTTCAAATCATAATTCGTAAGCAGTTACATCGATCGAACGAAAAGAAAGACTTCTTTTAACCAGAAGAATATGTGAACGAAACAAGTCAGTGAAAAGAAGGTTAGATCCTAACCTAACATTTTTTGTCTAATGCCCTATGTAGTTTAACGACCAAGTTAACGTTTTAGATCCATCGAAATATAATTATAAATCACATGATTGGTCAAATATGGACCCCAACGATCGAAGAGCATTCACGACACGTATTTAGGCTCGAAGTAGAGAGTTACAGGAGCGGAGAAGCAGGGGGCTGGTTTAAAACAAAGCGACGCGATCAGACGTTCGCGCACCGTATTGCGTAAAATTTGTCAAGCGAATGTAAATAACTAACGCATACATTTCACATGTAACATCCTTGTTCACCGTCATCATGATCCATATAATCGTCATAACCATTCCGTGTGATCATCCTCACTATATCGTCAACATCTTCATCAATGTCTTCGTTTTCTCCGTTGTCCCGTCGTTTTTATCAGTTTTCAAGGTTCATCTCCGTCAAACACCACAGTCCGACGACCGGGTTGACCGATCCATGTAACAAATATCACCCACGAACCTCTTATTCGCGTTCGGCGAATTGGCTCGCCGTAAAACCGTGTAAAAAATCCAATATCGCGGATAGAATTTACGAATCGGCCTACCGGTAATATACAGAGAGTCGATGAAACGAGTCGATCGGTGATTTGTGAACGCGGCAAACATGCTATCTCTTCGTTTCATTGTCATCACGTGACTGATTTCGTTTCATTGCGTTCCGAAACGCATGCATTTTCCTACGCGACGCGATGGTGCTCGTCGTCGAACAATGGAGGACGGTAAGGAGCCGGCGAAGTCCATCGAAGGCAGGATTCTGGGCGGGAGCAAGCATCGACCTTCGAGCCGTGATTTTGTAGGGGAAGTCGACTCGAAGTTCGCGTTGCGGTCGGTCAAGGTGCACGCGAGTTTCCGGTGCACGAGGACCGTCATCGTTTCTCCGTTATGCCATCGTTTCTTGTCCTTCGATTCCTCTTCGCGTGTTCCTCCTTATCATTCCTCTCTCACGTTCTATGTGTCTATGCGTGTGTTCATGTGTGTATGTGTGTGTCTGTGTGTGTATGTCCCCGTCCAGTTCGATGATGTGGCTCGACGCGCGGTACACACACGGCGCAACTCGGTTCCTTCACCGTGATGGCGGTTCTCGAACGATCCGTCCCTTCGTCCTCGCTCGCACGCTCGTGTCCAGCTAGCGACGTGTCTCTCCCAACGATCGTAGCGTTCTTGAGTGGTTTTAAAGGCAACTCGTTGGAGGAATGTATTTTTTATACAACTATAAGGCTGTCGATGGAGAGCGCGCGCAAGGTCCGCGAGAACCGGTGCTCCCCGCGAGCAGTATCAAAGGGCTACGAGATCGACTCGTCCACGTTGTCGTCGTCGTCGGCGATGCCGCTACGGTGGCGCTAGGTTACGACGCTGGCGGTGCTGGGGACGTCGGCGTCGCCGATCAGACGTCCGCGGTCCTCGAGGTGACGCTCGGCGAGCGGCTGTGTATGACAACCCGATGACCGTTCTTCGTCACGAAGCCGTCGCTCTCGACCAGCACCGCGGTCTGCCTCACCCGCGGATCCGTATCCGCGTCGTCGCTTTCCTCGCTCGGCCCGCCCAGACGCTGCTGCTTGTGCTTCCTCCAGGCGTTCTGGATCAAACGCGCGCAATACTCCTCGCGTTGACGCCATAGCGTGGATGAGACCGGCTCGTAACCGGTCTCTCCTGGACGCGCCTGAACCTCGATCTCCGCCGTCTCCTCGATCGGGTTACCCTTACGCGCGAAGAAATCTTTCGTAAGGGCGTCCAGGATGTCCACGCAGAACATCATGTCTCCCTTGCATATCGGGATGTCCATCGATACGATCTTGTACTTGTTCGGCTTGTGGATCTGCAACGGTGGCTCCAGCACGTCCAAGAAGTCGGACAGCTGGTCGTATCTGATATATTGCGTCCCGTCGGGATCGAACTGTTGCCAGATCTCGTAGTACATGTCGTAGTCGTCGTCCGTTAAGCCTTCCTGGACATCCTCCGTCGCCTGGGAGTAGTTCTCGAGGATCACGGCGATGTACATGTTGATGACGATCAGAAAACTTATCACCAGATACGAGAGGAGATAGGCAATGCCGATCGTCGAGGAGCCGCAGTTACCCGGGTATCCTATCTCGTTGTTTGGCTCCTGGCAGTCCTCCTCGTTTATTATACCGTCTAGGACACCGTCCCAACCGGCCGACGTTGACATCTTAACATATCAAGTTACTCTTTAACTATAAACATTTATGTATTTCTAATTTGGGAAGTGCTGTGCATGAAGTATGTGGGTACTAGGATTAACTGTCCTGTTTAGATTATTACTATATAATGGTGGTGACAGTCATGTTTAATGTTATTTGAATGCTATTTACATGTGGATTTTCGTATATTCTATCACTATGCAGCGTGTGACTGAGGGATACTAGTGAGGTATACAACCACAAGGATCCACGGACCAGGTCACATTATGAACATAAGTCAAAGTGTAACCTTAAAGAACTGTACGTGTGAATCTATCTAGCTTTACATTGCATTCTTTCATTTTTATTTGATTATTCTGATATTCCCTTACTTGCAAATTCGTGCGAGCATGCGACATGCAAAAAGTTAGAATAAATGCTGTCTGAAAGCTCCCATGAACAGCACTTATGGGACATCATTTTGCTTAGCATTTTTTGTGTTCAGAGTCTGTTGTATTTAGGTCAAAAGTGTTGTGGGATATGAAATAATTTGCTGAGTGATTATCGTTATTACCAGATAATTACCTGGACTAGGAAATAGGAACGTGCAGTCAGATATTTACCTGGAATAGCAGTATCATCGACTGGCCAAACGTTTTGAAGTTATATACATCGTCCAGTCCGCTCTTGTCTTTGACGTGCATGAAGAACGACATTCCAAAGATCGCGAAGATAAACATCACCAAAAACAGTAATAGGCAAATATTGAAGAGAGCTGGTAACGACATCGCCAAGGCGAAGAGAAGAGTCCGAATACCCTTGGCACCTTTCACGAGTCGAAGAACACGACCGACTTTTGCTACCCTTACTACACGAAGCAATGTCGGTGATACGAAGTATTTCTCGATTATGTCACTGAGGACCAGACCTGAAGAGAATATATGCACATTTTAAAATCACAAGTATAAATATTATAAAAATGATAACTAAGTAAGAGTGAAGCTGGAGTGGTGCCTTTTATGTTAATTGATGTTCCTCTAATCATGCAGTTACTCTAAGGGAAGAGGGGACTTTTTGCAAGAGATTGTTTGTCTGTGTATCTAGAACCTATGCGAATTTTGTTTGTAAGCAATCGTATATCTAGAAAGATTTTGATTGTCTCGATTTAAGATTCAAAACTTGTGATGCATATAGTTTGAAAAAATGGAAAAAAAACATGCGTCATAATCCTAAAGACTAGGAACCCGTGTTCTCTTGTTTTATGTACAAGACATGCACTGAAATTGATCGAGAGTTGAAGCTATCACTCGTTGCATCACTCGGTGCGGTATAAAATGTCAGTATCTTGTGTGAGGCATTCGAAAGTTTGTAAATGAAACTATCGTTTCTCTAGAGCGAAGACTAATTTTGAATGAACTAGTTCTGTTAATACAGACCCGCTCTTACCCGATTCTTTATATCAATTAACATGTGTGAATCCGTATACAACATTGTATTTTATGGTAATTTATACATTTCTTTTAAAAGGGCCATATAGCGAGACTACACTGTAAAGTACTTTATCAGGTAAATATCGTGATTTGACTGATGCAAAATAATATTTGAGGACCATAGTTAATCAAAACAATGTTGTATTGGTTGATTCAATGGCCACATGTCGAACACCATAGCAGGGACAAAGGATTGGGGTTATCACAGTACGACATCAATGTAAGGCTACATAATGTAATGACGCTGATCAGTCGTTGCGGCACATGTGAAATATCGAACCTGTCCGCTTTTTATTTGTATTTCAATGTAGAAAAAAGTCAAAACGTGCATAAGAAGATTGTAAGATGTTGCATGACATGCTTCATTTGCATTCTATCTATCTAATCGTAAAGATGATCGTGTGCTGAGAAAAAGCTAACAGGATCACTTTCTCTGACCAACGTATCTGTCAATTTCACGTGTGCCATACGACTGAACTAATCATTACATTACATTACCTAATATTGACAATATAACAACAACAAAATCAAAGAGGTTCCATGGCTCCTTGAAATAGTGGTAACGCAGAGCGAAGATCTTCATGAGACACTCGCTGGTGAATATCACAATGAATATCATGTTCAGATAGTCTAGAACATCGCTGAAAGTCTGGGTCTGTTGATAATGGTCCAACGTCATCGTAAGCATGTTCAGCCCGATGAACAACATGATTATCATATCGAACTTTTTGTCCGTCACTATTTCAAACACTATCGCCTGCGGCCTCCACTGAAAAACAGAAATATTTCATTAATTTCATTATTCTATGGAAGGTGGGCAAATATTGATCTAAGTTCGATTTAGGATCACCTATGATTATTGTACTAATTAATACGTATTGGGCTAACTTTGGTGCGTTTTGTTCTCTCAAACTTGTTCTATTCTTCATTTTCTAATTTCTAGGTTAGGAAATTTATAAATCACAGAAATTTGTTAGAAACTATCAAGGTGGTGTGTGGATAACTATCTCACTGATAATTTAATGATTAGGAGATATTTTACAAAACTGAGTTTGAGTGATTAATAATTACAGTATTCAAAATACTATACGTGATACTATACGTGATACTAAACGTGATACTAATTTAGCAATATTTAGTTGCAAAATTCTAATTACTTAGGAACTGTCGCATATAATTTATTCTCTGGTAATTATTTAGTAAATGATTAATTTTTACCGAGTTATCTCTAAAATAATAAATAGACCTTACTCTTGGGCGTGGAATGGCCTTGAGTGGTTTCTTGCTGCCCATCTTTTTCATAGCGTTATAATATTTCTTCTGATCTTCTGTCATGAACATTTCAAGGGAACCTCCGGCCTTCTTCTTTTGCTCGTTAAAGTTGTCGATGATCACACCAATGAATAGATTAAGGGTAAAAAACGATCCGAATATAATGAAGAATACAAAATAGAAATACATGTAGATGTTCGTTTCACGAATTGGTTGTTTGTTGAGCTATAAACAGAATTTCATATTTTAACAATACTGATTAATCATTTTATTCTAACCAAATACTAACTTTCATTTTAACCATGTTAATTTTCATCAATTATTTATTCTGATCAATTACTTTGATTTTGACTAATTATTTTAATTCAAATCAATGTTCAATTGATTAGATCAAGTCTGATTAATTATTTTGATTTTGATCAATCATTGATCCTAATCAATTATTAATTTTGATTAACTATTTTGACTTTGATCAATTATTGGTCCTAATCGATTATTAACTCTGATCAATTATTTTAATTTTGACCAATCATTGATTCTGATCAATTATTCTCTTTTTGACTAATTATTTTAATTCAGATCAAACATGGAGTTTGATCAATTATTTTGATTTTGATCGATCATTAATCCTAATCAATTATTAATTTTGATTTTGATCAATTATTGATCCTGATCAGTTATTAATTCTGATCAATTATTTTAATTTTAGTCAATCATTGATCCTGATCAATTATTAATTCTGAACAATTATTCTCATTTTGACTAATTATTTTAATACAGATCAATCATGGAGTCTAATCAATTATTTTGATTTTAATGAATCATTGATCTTAATCAATTATTAATTCTAAACAATTATTCTCATTTTGACTAATTATTTTAATACAGATCAATCATGGAGTCTAATCAATTATTTTGATTTTAATGAATCATTGATCTTAATCAATTATTAAATCTGATCAACCATTTTGAATTTAATCATTTTCACATTAATCATCAATTCTAATCAGTTATTAATTCTGATCAAATACATATTCCGATTTTGATGAATTATTTTCATCCAAATTAATTATAAACCCTGGCTAACTATTTAAACCTTGATTTTCGGTGTAATTTTGAATACCCTCACCTCTCTGGAATCAATTGCGTCGTTCATGATCTGAATCCATCCTTTGAACGTGGCCACTTGGAACAAGCACAAATACGCTTTTCCTACGTGATCGAAATTCATCGGTGAATTCTCCCAGGTGTAATTCTCAGCCAGACAGGCATTTCTATCAGGGATTATTTCGTAGCTAAGTGTTGTTTTGTTTGCATCCACGCACTGCAACAACAATTTGCTTTCATTATTTTCCATATATACATAAATCTATTCATATCTTTCTCTTACTGCTTTATTCATTTTTATAATATCAATTTTGATACACCACACATAATGTCAATTTTTATAAACTAGAAATAATATCAATTTTAAAAGACTGTAAGTAAAATCAATTTGGGAAAACCATATACATATAGTACAAATTTTTATTGGCCAGCCATAATATTAATTTTAATAAACCATATGTAATATCAATTCTTATTGGCAATTCATAATATTAATTTTAATAAACGATATTATAGTATCAATTTTTATTGGCAATTCATAATATCAATTTTAATAAACCATATTGTAGTATCAATTTTTATTGGCAATTCATAATATCATTTTTAATAAACCATATTGTAGTATCAATTTTTATTGGCAATTCATAATATCATTTTTAATAAACCATATTATACTATCAATTTTTATTGGCAATTCATAATATCATTTTTAATAAACCATATATAGTATCAATTTTTATTGGCAATTCATAATATCAATTTTAATAAACCATATGTAATATCAATTTTTATTGGCCATTCATAATATCATTTTTAATAAACCATATATAGTATCAATTTTTATTGGCAATTCATAATATCAATTTTAAAAACTAGATATAATATCAATTTTCATTGACCATTCATAACATCAATTTTGATAAACCATATGTAACATCAGATTTTAATGGCCATACACAATATGAATTTTAATAAAAGATTTAAAAGTAACATTCTATAGGAACAAATATATACCTTGAAGTATTTGCCGGCAAAAAGCTGCACACCCATAATGGCGAAGATCAACCAGAAGATAAGACACACCAGTAACACGTTGAAAATGGATGGAATGGCTTGAACCAAAGCGTTGACGACTACCTGTTAGACAAACAACGTTATTAAAGTACCCAAAAATCATCCAACCCTTTCGATTTTTGTTTTTCTTTTGTGCTTGGATACGCGTTTCTATGCATCTCTACGCATCTCTATTGTCTACGCCGTGTGTTACTTGTATGTGCAATTTTAATTCCTAGATTTCTCTCTATATGCAACTGAATTGAAAGAAAAAATAATATTGCACGATGGAAACCAGAAATGTTGTATCAAGTTTAACATCGAGAGTTACAATTATTTTATTAAAATAATTTCATTATTTATGATTCGATGAATTATTAATTTTCTGTACGTTCAATTAATAATTAATCCAATATGTAATTTTACAATAATACTTTACAATGATTTTTAAATACAGTTATTACAATTATTAAATAATTATGATTTAGTTATTAATTGAATAACTAAGACTTAATTATTAATTGAATAATTAAGATTTAATTATTACTTGAATAACCAATATTTAATAATTAGTCGAACGACTAAGATTTAATTTTCGATCGAATAACCAAAAATTACCAAATTGACAAAAATTAATAATAAAAAATATATCGATTACAACATTCCTGTTTCACTCTCACGATTTAATAACCACGAGAAATAACGAAAATTCGTTAATACTCCTCACGTTTTTCTATTTCTTGGAACAGTAAACCGAGGTGAACCTTGCATACTTACTCGCACCATTTCAAAAAGAATAAAAAGAAACGTGGACAGAGAGTCAGTGTTCTGCACAAATTCGACTCGAAATAGAACAAAAAGAAATAAATCTATTAGCCCGGTCCGACATTGTGCGTACTGAACCTCGAGATATTTCGTGCGACAAAAATAAAGTAAAACATCAACAAGATGGTGTAGGTAAGCGAACGAAGCAGTTACGTGCAAAAATTTTCGGACAAATCGAAGCAAGCGAGTCACATGCGTTAATGAACGAGCAATAGCAGGCTGAATTATACACGTCGACAATTAAGCAGAAAGTTTATCTACTGGCTAAGATAGTTAGATAGGATAAGATAGTTTTCAGGGTGTGGGCATGACAGTAACTCTACGCCCAGTATCTCAGCGACCTTGTATTACAGTTATGTAGAAATCGTTTTAAAGTCTGTAATGAGACACAAACTGTTAATTAATCGTTCGATGTAACTGATGGTATCACTAGTGTGTGTGTATCGTGGGTGTTTATGGTTACGTTTGATATATGGCGTAAATGGGGTTCTAACTTTGAGGGTAGATACTTGTGAAATTCATAAACTATGTCCTGTTCTTGTATTTTTCTGTGGAAATTTGTACAATGCTACTCAATCTTCTATTTTTAAATTATTTGTACTTTTAGGACGAATATAATTGTCAATGAATGAATTGTTGGTAAGTTAATAATTATATGTATATTGTTATTGTGAAATCATTTGTGACATATAGTAATCCATAACAAGCCCTTAATAATTAAATAAAAATTGTAGTTATTTATTGATGTTAAAGTGGCTGATTAATTTGAATAATAAAAGCTTCAGAAATTAAATCATAAACGATAATTTATTAACAAGCTAATAATTTCATTATTATTTTTAAATCAAGTCAGTAATTTAATGATTTTCATTTTAATGTAAATTAAAAATATAATTATATCAATAAACTTGAAATGAATAATAAATAAGCAATTATTTAAGATGTGAGATGCGAATATTTCCGAGAAAAATTTAATAAAATCCCTGCAAATTAGAACTTGTTTATTTTCTACCTAAATTTAAAGAAAATTGTGAACAGTGAACTAAAAAAAATTGTTAAATAAAATGTTAATTAGGACATTTTTTATTTATTTCTTAAGTACTACCCATAAGTCTCAACCCTTTTTTTAACCACCTTGTATGAATGTATACTGGCTGTATTTAAAGATGAGGCACGTTGCTCGAAAATTAAGAATCGAGGTAGTATCTAACAAAAACTATAACTGCCATCCTTAAGTTTGATATTATATAGTGTCATTAATTAGAAGAATTCTATAATTGAAATAAATTTTGTGAATTATGTCAATTGAAAGATTTATGTAGAAATTTGGAAGATCTCTCTTATGCAGGCGTTGAAATCACTGAATTTCTCAGTGACTGGAAGAAATGATCAATTTTCTAATTTTTGTATGAAATTTTGTCATTTCTTTTATGTGATAGATACTCGTCTTTCCGAGATATCTTGCAGAAAATATTTTTAAAATGTTATACATTTTTGTTGCAAAAATGTAATAATAATTGTTGCAAACAGACTTGTCAGTAATGCATAAACTATTCTTCTGAAGTTTTAATATTTTCGTTGTAACACATATTATTAACAAATATTATTTCAAACCAAAATGAGTACTCCATTCATTAATTACAATTCTCTACTACATTTTAAACAAAGTGTGCTAAAATAAAATTTTCATATACTTATACAAATTTGCATATAGTAATTTTCAACTATTACATATATTTAATAAATTTCAACAATTTTCACTTGTAACTGCATCTACAGATAAAAAGATATTTATTACAAAAAAATGAATATCAACTTCAAAATTGTACTTATGGCCCACTAACAAATTATTCAGTATAATTTATTTATGAATACCAACGTATATAACATACATTATAAATTTTGAATAAAAATAGAATCTTTGAACCCAAACTTACGGACAGCAGAGTATGCGTGTCTTCTAAGGTGCATATCTCGCGAAAGTTGTTGATAAAGAACGAGTCTACGTGCCGTTCAAACATTCGCCATTTTAAGCTGAAGTGCATTCGCGATTGCCCTAAGTATGTTCACGTGCAAAAGGATTCGAGTCTCTGATACGATGAGGCCGAAGAGTTAACATCTTCACATTTATTTCAATATCCACTGTTTCTTTAAATATAAAACTCTGATCGGCCTCTTTGTCGAGTCTCGTGGAAAAATATACGATGCCGCCGTTTTTATTTAGAAAAATATTCTTTCTATTAATTTATTTTGTTATTTAAAGTAGATAGATATTCTTAATATTTCGACGGCACCGAGATTATCTATTATGTTGAAAACGTGAACGAATGATCGTTGGTAAAGTTAGGCAATTTTTATATTTAGATACACTGGTATTATTTATGCTGCTTATCTATTAAGACGGTCTTCTGAGAAGCTCAGCACGTGATATCGCGTGGTACAGTTAACGCTTATGACTGAACACGCGATATCGAGTGATCGACACATGATTCATACATATGCAACTATTAATACGATTGAAATCATAATATAGAAAATTCCTGTTCACTTGCCATAGTAATTAATTATTATTCTAACAATTTTAGATAATACACCAATGTGAAATTTATATTCGAATTAAAAATTATACATTCATCTCCAATTAGAAAATTATGTAACAAATACAGTTTAACTCCAGTTAAAGGAAATTTAATTTTGTATTAAATGTTCATTAAATTAAATAGGAAACCTAATTAAGTACTTGAAAGGTCCAATTAAAAGGCTGCTGATTTGCAGAATTTTACAAATTTTGTTTCGACAAATATAATAATGTAACATAAATAAATGCAACAGTTTACGTTGCATATTAACAAGGGGTTGAATGAATTAAAACGAACGAGGGGTTGAAAGGGACTTTTTTCTGAAAAATATTTAAGCACCGAGCAATCGACCAATCAGGGTAAAATTATATTTTGTGAAGACAATAATGCCCAACTTGAGCGATCGATTCGTTCAGAAACTCGTTCACTTGGTAACTCTAACAAGAATAATAATCGTTTCGACGGGAATGGAAGAGAGTACATAATTGGCAAGGTCCGCTGAGACGGTGGGCTACATACCCTCATTCCCTGCATTCTAGACATCGCCCTGAGTGGCCTTAGGGCCCTTAGGGTCCTCATTGTTTTGAAGGCTTGGATCCCGCCAGCGCCACAGAGCGACGCTACGAAGTTAATGAGTGACACCTGCGAGCGAGAAACGAGAGCGAATCACAGCAACAGGTTGACAAAACTACTCCCAAATAACGATCATATTATCGTCTCCAAACTCCCAAATCAGGAAAAAGATAGATATAGAAATAGAAATACAGAGATAGTTCAAAAAGACAGGTAAGGAAGAGACAGGTAACTGGGTAAACAGATCGTTCCTTCGATTGTCAATTTTTCAGTCTTTTTTTTCGAAGTTCCTGTATAATAACGATAAGTTGTCCCATCTGTGAAGAGCTTTTAGATTTATACATTTATAATATAGTGTATAATACACATCGTAATTACGGTACAACAGATAATAATCAGAGCAGGGGACGAAGACATTGATAGAAATCAGGTATGGCACATGTAGCGGTTCACAGTGAACAGAAATGTACATCACGCGATGCTCTGTTTGCGTATAATTACGTTTTCTAATCGCGTTATTGCATGTTTTAATATCTTTTATGAGCGTGGGATTCGATGTGCGATATTATCTGATTGATTATGTATACGCGGCCATTTTGTGTACCGCACGCTTAATGGCTTCATAGTTCACGGAAAGTTCGTTGAAAATTCTTTTAGGACTCTATGCACGGAACTATGTGAGTGTCTATAAAATTTATAAATACATGTAATTATACGTTAATATATACATAATTAATTGTACATATGTAACTACGTTTGGTCCTACAATTTTAAAACACAACCTCACAAATCTTTGTCAGTCTCAGAAATATTAATCAAAACTTCACTTTATAATAAAAATTATACAAAATAGTTTCGTCTATGTATAAAATCATTTATCTATATTATTGTTTATATTTATGTCTGTATAATTGTCTATATTTCTATCTGTCTAATTTATATGTATGTCTGCATAATTTATGTGTATGATATTTATATGTATAATCTTATAAATCACATAATCAAATAATCATATGTATAATCATGTAATATATTGAACTATGTTATAGTAGATAGTATTTGAATTGTTTCGGGAAATGTTTGGTATAATTATACGCATACAGGCACGTTCACTTGACAATGCAGAGAACAATATGGCTGGACAAGAATCATTATCAGTTACGAGCATGATTTTCGGCTCCGCCCTGAAACAGATGAAAAAGGTTCGTCATACTTGCTATAGCAACGCACTAGGCACAAGTTTTAATTCAATTAAATTCTCATTTTATGCATTTTTCATTTTTTTTAAGTCTTCATTTCTTGTTAATATTAGCTAGGATAAAAATAAAAGCTTCTTTTTTGGTGTCCCTTATCTTCCATATTATTTCATTTCATTTCTGTTTGTAAGTGATAAATGAAATTAAAAATGATTCACATAATCTTGAAAAATATTACCAATAAAAAGTCCCTAGTGTAATTGTTTTAAAATGTAACTTCGCTTAGTTTGCAGATAAAATAATAAATATAACTTATTCTTCTTAATGATTTTAATTTGTTTGACAATTTTGTTGATTATTCCTATGAGTCCCGCCAGTTTGTGAACACGACAAAATGGCCACCATACCACATCAAGGTTGAATAGAATAACAGTAGGTCCCATAAATCTTGAATAATTATAAAAACATCCAGTAAAGAATATTGAGTTTCAAAATTTCTAAAGTCATTGTGGACATCATAATATTAATTAATATTCATAAAACTGATGATACCACAGTGCGTTACTATTAAGAATCAAGATCCTGATGAACATGTCCCAATTTTATACAACGTACACTTGGGTGCAATATATTTAGGCTTCTTTTGGATAAAAATGCATGTTAGGGAAGATATTCAAATTTTGAAAAATTTGGTAACTTAAGGATTTGGGAATTTAGGGATTTGAGTGACAGGGATTTGAGGATTTGGGATTTTGGGTATATAGGAAATTGGGAATATAGCAATTCGGGAATGTGAGATCTGGGGAATATCGAAATTTGGGAATGCAGGAATTGGGGAATGTGGTAATTGGGGAATGTGGGAATTGGGGAATGTGGGAATTGGGGAATGTGGGAATTGGGGAATGTGGGAATTGGGGAATGTGGGAATTGGGGAATGTGGGAATTGGGGAATGTGGGAATTGGGGAATGTGGGAATTGGGGAATGTGGGAATTGGGGAATGTGGGAATTGGGGAATGTGGGAATTGGGGAATGTGGGAATTGGGGAATGTGGGAATTGGGGAATGTGGGAATTGGGGAATGTGGGAATTGGGGAATGTGGGAATTGGGGAATGTGGGAATTGGGGAATGTGGGAATTGGGGAATGTGGGAATTGGGGAATGTGGGAATTGGGGAATGTGGGAATTGGGGAATGTGGGAATTGGGGAATGTGGGAATTGGGGAATGTGGGAATTGGGGAATGTGGGAATTGGGGAATGTGGGAATTGGGGAATGTGGGAGTTGGGGAATGTGGGAATTGGGGAATATGGGAATTGGAGAATGTAGAAAGTGGGGAATGTGGGAATTAGGGAATATAGAAATTTGAACAAATATATAGATTAGGAAATAAAGAAATTTGAGAATATAGAAATTTGGGAATACATGAATTTGGAAATATAGGAATATAGCAATGCAGAGAATTTAAAACCTCACAAAACTTCCTAAGAATTTAAAACCTCACAACACCCAAAACTCCGTAATAAAAACTATCTAACATTAAAAGATCTCCAAAAAGAACCTAACCTAATCCTCCTCCCTCCCCAACACCAGTACCCAAAAGAAACCTACGTTGCACCCAAGTGCACAGCATCAGTACATAATACACACGCTTACATTTACACACAAGGAAGATTGTACGTTACACACAAAGCATATAATATGTATATAATATATATAATGTTCATATATATATATGTATATAGTTCAGATGTATAGATACACCGTACTTTGCACAACGATCACTGTGCCAAAAAAGATTATTAGGAAAGGCGTACATAGGCGGTAGCTAGTACGACAAAAAACTCCAATATCAGTGCAGACACCGAGTAGATACGCCAATGTACCTCTGCACACCGGAAAGCACATCACACAGTACAGGTTACAATCACTGTAGCGAGATCATGTTCCTCGTCATACTCATTTTTTCCCTCGGTTTTCATTTATTGTTCCCTTTTAATTTTCTCTCCTATATACTTGTTCTAAACACCGATATTTCTTTGCAAATTTGACGGATAAGTTTATTCATATTTAGGTGACATTTTTTCTAAAATTGACATCAAATTTAAATTAACATCAAACAGACATTAATATTTAATTAACATTTGTGTCAAATGGACGTCAATATTAAGATTGACATCTTTTTCAAGTAATCAGTGTTAAATTGTTTGATATATTTTTTTAAGTATGTTTGAAGAGTTCAGTTGGGTTATGTAGATTTGACAAAATTGAGGGATACTGAGAATACTTTTGTATTGTGTTTGGATCATATCTGGAATCTAAATCATGGGTAAATTTTATCTGAATTATATGTGAATCATGTCTGAATCATATCTGAATCATATCTGAATCATATCTGAATCATATCTGAATCATATCTGAACTATATCTGAATCACATCCAGATCATATCTAAATCATGCCCAAATCATACCTAAATCATATCCAAGTCATACAATTATAGTAAACAAATCATTGAAGCTTACTTCAATTTTTGTAAATCTAAATTCAATTGTTTGTATTAATAATCCAACATAATTGAGTCAATAATGGGGTCTAAAAAGAAATATTGGGAGAATAACCTAAACTTAGAAACCCAAAGAAAGAAGTCTGCAGCGCCATCTGGACACCACAGTTTATTATAACCTAATGGAGCAGTGTCTCAACAAATATTTAACATATATTACTCTACAATATTCTACAACAAACTTTTCAATTCGAAAAATTAACTTGAATGTAATATTTTAAACCAAAATCCATTTGCAGATTATGATTCTCTATGAGGCTTCAAAAATTTTAAAATTCTTATCCTATAATTTAACCTTGCAGTACATATGCAACTTTAATTTTAATTAGCTTTAATTAACTTATACAACTTTAATTTTGCAATCGTTAAGTAAACTTCAAATTTTCAAAAACGCAACCTATAATTTTACAAAATTCCATTTGCAGGTTATGATTCACTATGAGGCTTCAAAAATTCTAAAATATTTATCCTACAATGTAATCTTGCAGTACATGTACAACTTTAACTTTAACTAGCTTTAACTAACTTATACAGCTTTAATCTTGCAATTGTTAAGTAACCTTCAAATTTTCAAAAAGAGTCTATAATTTTACAAAATTATTTTCAGTATCCCTCATGAAATTTTGAGTGAATGATTGTTCGAATGTAAGGTGAATTAAAACCGTCAGATTTGCAGAATCGGCCAAGTCGGCATCACCGTATATTAGGTTGTTTCTTTCATTTCTTCTGGTGGACCTATGGACTTACTCTCATGCCCTCCCATCGTGAAACGGCTCGTAAAGGCCTCAAGGCCCTCAGTGTTCTCATGGAACGGAAGGCCGGGATGTCGGCAGCACCGGCCCAGATTGCACCCAAGTTGATCAGTGAGAGCTATTATCATCAAATATCGATCAGATGGAACGTGAAATATCCTGGTCATCGTGATTAATACGTATTGGCGATTGATTAACAGAGATATCCATCTGGATCCACGTTGAGCTCCAACATTGCAAACAGACTTTTAGGCACAAGTAGGACGGGGGGAGACGAAGGAACTTCAGTGAAAATAGATGGAGCAAGACTTTTTCTTTATGAACAAGTTTACAAAATTATCAACTTTAGCAGGTTACTCGTATCTTGATCAAATGTCTATTTTTAAAGACGTTTATACACGTGCACGAAATTATTTAGTTGTAAACTTGTTGATGGCTGCAGTGTAAACTAGATTAGAAACACATCATATGAATACTTGTATTCTAAGAATCGTGTGTGTAATCAACCATCTTGTTTGGGTATACATTCGTGATTTTGCTAACACTTTCTGTTTCGAAGAAAGAGATTACACACAGTTCTAGGTGGAACATTACAGAGGGAGGGTTCTGCGAATACAACTTACCATGACGATGATGAAATCGAGCCAGCACCAAGCGTTCGTGAAGTACTTTTTGAAGCCAAGAGCCAACCATTTGATTAACATTTCGATGAAGAAAATCACAGTAAATATTCGGTCCATGTAATACAAGATATCTTGCAGAATGGGTCGTTGTTGAAGATGCACATCTTCCAAGGCCTGTAATTATTGTTGTAGGCTTTTACATTCCGTTTCGAGCGATATTGGTGTAACTAGGGGCATTTTTATAGTCAATGTGGATTTATTCGCGTGTATTTTATGATTAATGTATGGGGAGATTTGCAAAGTTCATTTTCGAATTTTCAAGCTTGATGTTGCTGAATTTTTAAATTTCTGAATTTGTATGCGCATGGAAATTGGAAGTTTTTGGAAGTTCTAGGTTTTGGAATTTCTAGGTCTTGCAATTTCCGTATTTTTGAATTTCTACGTGTCCAAATTTCCAAATTTCCGAATTTCTACATTTCCAAATTCCAAAAGTTCCAAATTCCAAGATTTCCAAATTCCAAAATTTACAAATTCCAAGATTTTCAAATTCCAAGATTTCCAAATTCCAAGATTTTCAAGTTCCAAGATTTAGAAATTCCAAGATTTCCAAATTCCAAGATTTTCAAGTTCCAAGATTTCCAACTTCCAAGATTTCCAAATTCCAAAATTTCCAAATTCCAAAATTTCCAAATTCCAAGATTTCCAAATTCCAAGATTTCCAAATTCCCAAATTCCCAAATTCCCAAATTCCCAAATTCCCAAATTCCCAAATTCCCAAATTCCCAAATTCCCAAATTCCCAAATTCCCAAATTCCCAAATTCCCAAATTCCCAAATTCCCAAATTCCCAAATTCCCAAATTCCCAAATTCCCAAATTCCCAAATTCCCAAATTCCCAAATTCCCAAATTCCCAAATTCCCAAATTCCCAAATTCCCAAATTCCCAAATTCCCAAATTCCCAAATTCCCAAATTCCCAAATTCCCAAATTCCCAAATTCCCAAATTCCCAAATTCCCAAATTCCCAAATTCCCAAATTCCCAAATTCCCAAATTCCCAAATTCCCAAATTCCCAAATTCCCAAATTCCCAAATTCCCAAATTCCCAAATTCCCAAATTCCCAAATTCCTAAATTTCCAATTTTCAAAATTACTAATCTCTCAAATTCCCAATTTCTTAATCCCTCAAACTCTCAACGACCCAAACACCTAAATCCCCAATTCAAAAACATCAACATTCTAAAATTCCCCAAATCCACTTATCCTGCCGAATATTCTCAAATAAATCCCTAGAGTTATCCACATAAACCCCTAGTTACCCCACCTTTTCCGAATTGCACAAAAATTCCAGTCTAGAAGTTTTAAAACGATCATCTATCAAAACATCAACATAAACATCTCAGCGCCATTTGCAATTCCTCAGCGCTATTTGCAATTCAGCGCTATCTACATTGCATTTAAAGACACATCACCCTTTAATGAAACGCAATAATTCGTCTAATACAATAATTCGTTTAATGTAATTTCACTTTTAAACATCCCAGACTGGAATTTTTAAAATATATATCAAAATAGAAAATAATGTATACTTACGAGAGCCATACTACTCAAAAGAATCATCAAAATGACGGCAGTCTCAAAATACTTGTTCTCGATTAGTTGGAAGGTCTTCAGTCTCAAGTTCGCCCAACCCTGCCAAAATGGAGCATCGTCGTCGCCAGCTAAGAACGGGAACTTTTTGTAACAATTTTCTGGACAACAATCAGCTGGATAATCAGGCTCGATGGGATCTTCATCAGCTTGAATAATGGCGTCCCCTAATTCGCCATCTCCTCCTTCTCCTTCTTCGCCTTCGTCTCCGTCATCCCCAAGATCTTCAAAATAGAGTTTCGTTTAAGTTATTGTGTCGTTATTAGGTATTTAATAAAATATTCGAATTAGACATTTGTATCATGGTAAATAGTATAATAAGATATTTGTATAATAAATATATCAAGTAGCTAATTTAACAATTGTATAATTCAGATATGTAAGTAACTGATTTTTAAGTTTGTAATTTAGACATTTAAATATATGTTTCATGTCTTATTTAGTTATTTAAGTGTCTAATCGTCCCATATCTATTTTAGTTATTTAAGTAAGTACTTAAATGAGTATGTACGATTAAGTAATCGCATTATATCTAATTTATACAGGGTGTCTCATAACTAGTGTAGGTCCCTGAAAGGGGGGGGGGGGTAGCTGACATGATTCTGAATAAGATTTCCCTTTTCAAAAATGGCATTCGAAGCTTCGTTTTCAAATTATTAAGGAAAAACACGCGAGAGTGAAAGCTTTGAGCCTAGCGCGAACGTGATCAAGTGCCTGATCAAACATTGGACAGTTTAATAAAAAATATCAAATGTCCCTCATGTCAAATCTCAGTAAAATAATAAACAGAACAATTACAAATAATGTTTACTTATTCATTTATCTTACTTATATTCTTGTAAGTTTACTTCTTGTAAGTATATTTAGTGTAATTCTTGTAAGTATATTTAAATTATTTAGTACCTAATTTATCTACTTAAACACATACATTGGCAACTACCTAATTTTAGCAATAAACAGCCCCAAATTAAATATGCATTCAGTGTATCATAGTAAATGATTTTCAAAAATGTCTGTACCTTCATCTTGTTCTAGGTCTTCCTTACTCGCATCCTTCTTTTCCTCCCCGTCCAACAACTTCATACTACCCTTATGACTTTCATCCTTGAATGCTCTGTTCTTATGGCTGCCATACGATTTGTTACTGTAACATTTGTTTCAAACATTACGATTACCATAACATCAAATATTTATTTTTAAATGATTGTCACAGATATTCACCTGATTGTGTCATCCTCGTTCTGATTAATATAATCGTTGTCCAATCTATAGTCACGGTGGTTGATTGAATTTGCTATAACCTTGCTGTTGTTCAGGCACAGTTTACCCTTCTTCAATTTATTCTTTAGATCTCCTTTGAGCAATAAAATATCCGTCTCATTATAATTTATTAAGGTTGATTTTATTCAATAATATTGATTTACTGACAGTCACATTTTATTTCTTTTTATATTTAAAAAATTCTCTAAAATAGTGTTTCAAAATGTATTTACAAAAAATTGTACATATTTTTTTTATATTTTCAATGCAATACTGATACTTATATTCATCTCTGGTTGGATCTGTGTTGATATGAGATTTTAATGCAATTTTTAAAAAGTGGATTGTAAAGGACCTTTTAATAAATAAAGTATTTGATCAATAAAGGGTGCTTTAGTAAAGGGTATTTGATAAGTGAAGGATGTTTCAATAAAGGGCATTTAATGAAGCGTTTTAAAAAAACGTATTCAATAAACAATTTTAAATGTCTTTTAATAAATTTTTAAAAATTTGTTTAATAAAAATACATTGTTAATAAAAAAACATAGGGTGTTTTAATAAAGTGTATATAATAAACAAAGACTGCATAAGTAAATGGTATTTAACACATTGACTGCCATTGAAGAAGTTGAAAATTTAATTAGCTAACATTTTTATTTTTAACAAACCATTTTCACTAAATAGTTAATATGAGTATTTTCAATAACTGAACAAATTTTAAAAAATATAGATGATAGTATGAGAAATTTAACGTAGCAGTGAAAGTGTCAATAAATAAAGAATAACTTATATCACATTTTCAGAATAAATTTCCAAAAATTATCACCAAAAAGGAGAATTTCAGAAATTATCTAATTTCATGATTAAACGAATTGAAATTATACATGAATAATTATAATATGCATGAAATCACTACCCGAATAAGAGTTGAAAAAGGGTTTCAAGAATAAAATTCGGGTGAAATGAAACGAACGAACGATACGGAATATTTCGATTTATATCGACACGCTTACCATGAATAGTAAATTCCATTCCATCCCCAATAGCAACTTCCAGTTGATTCAGCTCCTTGGCACTCTTTTTATCCCTATATGCATCGAGCTCTCCATCTGCAAGATCTAGGTCCCCATCCCGATCAATTCCATCTGCACAGTCATATAAAATCTCTAACCCGCCCTTATCAGAATAGATTTGTCAAAAAATATGTCTGTATAAATTCAACGTTGCCAGAAGTTTCATCCACAATTTGATTCTATGATCTTCGACGATCTGCAAGTTTTCTTTCAACAACGTAGACCTACGTTGTTCCTTTCTTTTGTTATTATTTTTTTTTTGTTTTTTTTTGTTTGATAATAATATTATCTTCTTTTGTGTTTCATGCAGTAATTTAACTAGTTCGAAATAGCCTAGTCTAGTCTAATCGACGATTTAACAAGTGTGACTAATTGTTTGCGCGATACATGGTGGATTATGAGCATTGGCGTAACTAGAATGTTTGTGTACAGGGTGGAATAGAGATTTTGGGGATTTTGAGAATTGGGATTTGAGTGGTTTGGAATTTGGGGATTAAGGGACTTAGAGATTTGGGTGGTTTGGAATTTGGGGATTAAGGGATTTAGGGATTTGGGTGATTTGGAATTTGGGGATTAAGGGATTTAGGGATTTGGGGATTTGGGGATTTGGGGATTTGGGAATTTGAGGATTTGGGGATGTGGGGATTTAGGGATTTGGGAATTTTGAGACTTATGGATTTGGGGATTTAAAGATTTGGGGACTTAGGTATTTGGGGATTTAGGGATTTGGGGATTTGGGGATTTGGGGATTTGGG